GTGCTACGACAAGTTTAGACGGGTTTGTTCAGGTAGCACATCGACTTGCAACATTATAAATAAAACTATACTGTCAGAATTAGGCTGGGCCGCAGTTAATAATTCGCACTGTATGTATTTTAGAAAATCTAAAAGTATTAAATTGATTAAAAAATTAAATTGTTTAAACAATTGTCGAAAATGATGTTTCAAATTTAAGATACTATTGCAATTGTAAACAGCAGAACTATTTGCAAAATTAAGGGGGAAGAGCAACTTTGTAGATACATTTAAACACTACTTTTAAAATAACAAAAATAATTTGTTTAAACAATTTTTGTTGACATTTTTTTAATTAAACTGTTATTTATTGCAGTTCATGTCAATAAAAGTTATAAAATTAAAAAAAACATCATTTTCCAGATATTTTTAACAACAATTTTACAGTAAGAACAATATATTGTTTAAACAAATTGCAAATTATTGAAAAATACGATTAATAGTATTTGTTCAATTTGTAAATAAAAAATCTTGCAAAAAAGACTATAAAAAATATTAATAAACATTTTTTAACGATTTTTCCCTGATTTTGCATTTTTTGAGGGTTTTTAGGGGCTGTTTAAAAAATATTTGTTATTAAAAATTCATAAATAAATTATTGGATCTTATTCTTTGAAAATAAATGAAGAAAAACAAAGTGGTCCGATAAAAAAATATTCATTTTTCATCATTTCATAGCAAATCTACGAAAAAACGTTTTTTCCCCATGCAAAATGCATGTAAAAATTCAAGTGCGATGAGGCACCATTAAATATTAATTTAAAAAAAAAAAAATACGTGTCTCTTATTTTTCCATGCTTAACAAAATGAGGGGTTACGAACTTTAAAATTCGAAAATTTGTTTTTTAAGGACCACCCTAATATATATATACATATATATATATATATTATATATATATATATATTTTATATATATATATATTTTATATATATGTATATTTTATATATATGTATATAACCTACAAGAAATACTCTACCAAATATATATTATCTCCATATAGTATACATAATTTGGTGACTCAACAGTTTTTAAGCACTGTAGCTCAAACTTGTAGAATTAACAGATTTTAATGCCAATGATTCTACAAATTTCTCTATTTGGAGAAACAACAATTTCCATCAGTAGATGGCGCAGGAGTTTCTGTAAATTCTACAGAAAATTTCTTTCCGTGTATATTTTTAGAAAGAAATTTATATATTAATTTAATTATTGTATTTGGGGCGGTCCACGCCATTCCAACATATCATCGACTTGGACATTTTTGATTACGCTCAAATTTTTTTACCTTTTTTTACTCAATGAAAAAGAGCTTCCTGATTTTCTTCAAATTTTTTTATAAAACCGTTTTCAAGATATAAATTTTTCAAAATTTTTGAAAAAAAAAATTATTTTTTTTTTATAGCTCATAACTTTTTGACAAATGCACCAATTTTAATTCTTTTTTTTCAAATTGTGTGTTTTAAAATGAACTTTTCAAAACTTTGATGCAAAAATTTTAAAAAAAGTTATTAACCTTATTTTTTGTAATTTTAAGATAAAAATCTTATTTTTAAAAGTGTTTGTATATTTTGATTTTTTCCAAAAAATTTTTAAAAAAACTACTTCTTATAACACAAATTTTAAGCCTAGTCCGGTCTTGGGAAAACAATTTTTAATATTTTTTTCGAATTTTTCAAAATTTTTAAACATTTGTTTTTTACTCAAATATGATTTCTAATGTTTCAGTAAAAGAGTTAATTAATAAAAACTTATAAATGGAGGTAAGCATAATAATAAACTTGTATTTGGAACTAAAATTTTGATCTTTTTTTTATCCAATTTTTTGACGTTTAAATATTTTGCAAGAATAATTCTCATTTGAGCTGGAACAATTTAAAAATTTCAAAAATTTTGTTGGTTGGCTGAGTATGAAGCTAGGAGGATGTTCCTCTCTCCATGCGAGAGCACTGCAAAGCGATGGGAGGGGCGTTGGCAAGGAGTCGATAGTATTTTTATTTATTTGAAAATTTAATTCTTAAAACTTTTATAATAATTTTAATTTTAATTATTTTCTCTATACAAATTTCTTTTGAAATTAATTTATTTTATTAATACTATTAAAATTTTTTTTCGTAATTTTATACAAAAATGTTTTTGAAATTTTTTTTAATATTAAGGAAAAAGATGAAGAAAAATATTTTAATCATTCTATTGGTATCAATATAATAGTTGCAATTATGTATAATTATAATTGGAAGTTTATTTTGTTAAAAGATGCTCTAGTCTGGAATAGAGCATTCATTTAAGGTCACCTTCCGACGTATTTTTACCAAGTAAGAACACGTTTAAAAGAAAAAAAAACTATTTTATTTTCCTCATTTATGTATTAGTTTACTTTAGTATGATTTATTTTGATTCATGGTGACGGTTCGGGGTGTTTGTGTTTGCAAACACTACCTGAAAAGGAAGTCGAGCAACACAAACATCATAAACTGGAAAAATAAACATTTCGAAAGCCCTAAGCCAACCACTGTTCCCAAACGTTGACGCCGACCATTTGAAATCCTCAAAACAGGCTGGCGCAGGTAGAGGAAAAACCCAAGGCCCATCTGGCTGCCGCGCGGCGTTGAATTTGGTTACAAAAAATTAATGGAAGTTAAGAATTTCCTTTTATTTTTAAACTTTTCTTAATAAATATTATTATTTTTCTTACATTGTCGGCACAATCAATTTTGTTTTAAAAATATATACTATTCCCTACTGAAAATTCTCATATAGGATCTTATATAGGATCTTACATAAATTCATATATTAAAATCCACATAAAATCCTATATGTCATGTAAGAAACTATATAGGATCCTATCAAAAATCATATAGGAAATTGAGACATGATTTAAAGTAGGATTTGATATGAATTTTTATGAACTTATTCTTAGGTAATAAATTATGTAAATTCCTATGTGAAATCCTACAATTTTTCTCGTCATATTTTTTCCTTCAATTTCCTATGTCAATTTCCAATGTCAATTTCCTTCATCATTTCTCATAAAAAAACCTATAAAAATTCATAGCTAAATCCTTAATTAAAAACTTTCCTATATCAAATCATACATAAAATCTTTTTTCAATTCATGAATAAAAAATTCTGACATAAAATCTGACATGAAATTTTATGTAAAATCTTTTCATCCCTGAATATGATTTTCCTATATAAAATCATATACAAAATCTGATGTAAGATTTTACATAAAATACTTTTTCGATTCATAAATAAAAAATTCTGACATAAAATCTGACATGAAATCTTATGTAAAATCATTTCATCTCTGAATATGATTTTCCTATATAAAATCATATACAAAATCTGATGTAATATTTTACATAAAATCCATTTTCAATTCATGAAAAAAAAATTCTGACATAAAATCTGACATGAAATCTTAAGTAAAATCATTTCATCCTTGAATAAGATTTTCCTATATAAAATCATATGCAAAATCTGATGTAATATTTTACATAAAATCCTTTTTCAATTCATGAAAAAAAAATTCTGACATAAAATCTGACATGAAATCTTATGTAAAATCTTTTCATCCCTGAATATGATTTTCCTATATAAAATCATATACAAAATCTGATGTAATATTTTACATAAAATCCTATTTCAATTCTTGAATAAAAAATTCTGACATAAAATCTGACATGAAATCTTATGTAAAATCTTTTCATCCCTGAATATGATTTTCCTATATAAAATCATATACAAAATCTGATGTAATATTTTACATAAAATCCTATTTCAATTCTTGAATAAAAAATTCTTACATAAAATCTGACATGAAATTTTATGTAAAATCTTTTCATCCCTGAATATGATTTTCCTATATAAAATCATATACAAAATCTGATGTAATATTTTACATAAAATCTTTTTTCAATTCATGAAAAAAAAATTCTGACATAAAATCTGACATGAAATCTTATGTAAAATCATTTCATCTCTGAATATAATTTTCCTATTTAAAATCATATACAAAATCTGATGTAATATTTTACATAAAATCCATTTTCAATTCATGAAAAAAAAATTCTGACATAAAATCTGACATGAAATCTTATGTAAAATCATTTCATCCTTGAATAAGATTTTCCTATATAAAATCATATGCAAAATCTGATGTAAGATTTTACATAAAATCCTTTTTCAATTCATGAATAAAAAATTCTGACATAAAATCTGACATGAAATCTTATGTAAAATCATTTTATCTCTGAATATAATTTTCCTATTTAAAATCATATACAAAATCTGATGTAAGATTTTACATAAAATCCTTTTTTAATTTTTAAAACATAAAAAATTCTGACATAAAATCTGACATGAAATCTTATGTAAAATCTTTTCATCTCTGAATATGATATTCCTATATAAAATCATATACAAAATTTGATGTAATATTTTACATAAAATCATTTTTCGATTCCTAAATAAAAAATTCTGACATAAAATCTGACATGAAATCTTATGTAAAATCATTTCATCTCTAAATATGATTTTTCTATATAAAATCATATACAAAATCTGATTTAATATTTTACATAAAATCCTTTTTCGATTCCTAAATAAAAAATTCTGACATAAAATCTGACATGAAATCTTATGTAAAATCATTTTATCTCTGAATATGATTTTTCTATATAAAATCATATACAAAATCTGATGTAATATTTTACATAAAATCCTATTTCAATTCTTGAATAAAAAATTCTGACATAAAATCTGACATGAAATCTTATGTAAAATCTTTTCATCCCTGAATATGATTTTCCTATATAAAATCATATACAAAATCTGATGTAAGATTTTACATAAAATCCTTTTTCGATTCTTGAATAAAAAATTCTGATATGAAACCATATAAAAACAAATTATTTGTTGACAAATCTGTAATGTTTAAGAGGATAATGAACAATTTCCATTATTTTCTAATATTTATTCGTTCCTATTAAGTTTCATCTGAACAAACGAAAATATAAAATAGAATTCTTTTTTACAAAATTATAATATTATTTACATCGTGAACATATAAAAATATATTTTTTATTTAAAAATTAATAATTATTTATTTCTTTTCATTGCTCTTAACCAATCTAAGCCTTGGAATGCAATATTTAAAAGTTACAGTCTAAGCTTCAGATTAATTTGACGTAAATTTTTGTGATATGAGAGTATAAAAATTAATTGTTAATATAAACAATTTTTAGAACTATTGAAGTAATAAATACATTTTTATAAAAAAGTTGTTTATGTAAAGGACAGTATGATTGTAATTAATTTTTTGTTCTTAAAATATATTTCTGTATCCTTAAAATATTAAATTAACAATTGATGCTATCACAATAAAAAGTAAGGTTAAGGAATACAATTTTTGCAATTGAAATATGTCTTACAATAAATTATTATCAATTTATAAAATATGTAAAAAATACAATAAATATTATTGATAAAATATATACTTATAACGCTTCAGATTTTTGATAATTCTCTGTTTAAGGAATCGCAAAGTTTTTTCTGTAAAATTTATAATGTACTATTTTTTAATGCTACTTAATAGGAACATAAATTTGGTAAAGCGCATATATATTGTTTTTTGCGAACTAATACATGTACACATATTTTAATGATTTCACTTGTATTTACAACTATTTTTTTTTCTTTACTGAATTAATTTTTTTCAAAAATGCGCATTGATTTGGAAAAGCATTCTGAGTAATTAATTTACGACATACAGTGTACTCCTTGTCATTTTGGTGATCTGCAATAAAATATATTATTTGTACGTAAGTACCATCCTTTAGTTTTGCAAAAGAATTGTCTGACCTTTTATTTTGAATTAAAGATGACATATAAAGGCAACCGTCCTTTATCATTTTTTTAAAAGAACCAGACATATCAGAAAGATTTAGACTATCAACCAAAGCGGAAGATATGTATGAAGACTTTCCAAAATATCGCGCTGTGGAATGTTTTACAGTTTTTTGGACCATCGATGTACTTATTTCGGAGCAAAAGTTTTTTGTTTCAAATGTTGCAAAAGGCTCAACTTTTTTCTTCAAGAATGCATAACTAGAGTTAAAGTTTATGTGTCGACAGATTTGTTTATGAACTCCTTTAGAAGTATGAACTACATTGAGCAACTTTGCATTGCCTGCTTCAAATGCAAATGCAGAGTGCTCATACAAAGGTCCCCAATTTAAGACACTACGTGCCAGATGTAATAAAATATGTACGTTAAATGTCATAGCAACTTTTGTATACAAGCGTTCAGTATCATATACAAACTCATGTAATAATTGATCAGCCCGATTAAGTTCATCAATAGAAATTTCCGATTGTAACAGAATATGTATAGCTTCAACAAGCTTCAACCAATGTTCCATTAACCTTTTATCAAGGAATTTACACATAATTGGTGCACTGTAGTAAAGAAGAAAATTTTCCCATTCTCGAGCTTTCCAGTGCTCTTTATCTGCTAAAGATCGCGTGAGTCTGCCAACATGATGCGGGACTTTCGTTGACTCGAGAATGGTATTAATTTCATCTACTTCTAATTTCGTTAATATCTTGGAAGAAGAACCTTTTTTTCCTAACCAAATGGTTGTAAATTGTTTGACCACTCCACTTATAATATGCATATTGTCAGGAACCAACCCATTAATTATATTAAATTTATTTAAATTTATCAATACTGATGGATTTTTGAAACCGCAGATTGGTTTCTTAGGCGTACAATCTTTCATTTGACGAATGCTTTCTTTTTCCGTTCTGAGCAACCCTGTTTGATCTATCCATGGATACTTTGAACAGCCCGAGTTAGGTTTCTTTTCATTAACAACCCATTCACCTGGATGTTTACACCAGTTGCATCCAAATTTCCCGTTGAATTGTGTTAGGCCTTGTATTGGTGCTCGGGCGACGGAATCCACACAACATACTAAGCAAAACAATTTGATTATTTGTTTTTTGTTTTTTACAGTGCATGTTATACCTTCGTCTCCTAGTATATTCATTTTTTCTACAAAGGGATCCAGAAAAACATTCATATCTGGTTTTGTTTTACCAAACCATAGGCCTACAACAATTAAATTATTTGTTCTTACATGGATAGGTAGTTCATTCAGCATTATATAAATAGGCCATATACTAAATGTGGAACTCTCAAATAAAGGAGCTCCATCCGTATTAAACACGGCAGTTACATATCGATTATGATCATCACTGTTTAAACTTTTTACAAAACGCCGATACAATTTTCCGTCATAAATGTTTTTAATGATTTTATTTTTAGATACGCTACTATGCATTACATCATCATAATAATCGCCATTCGCTTCTAATAAGTCAGCAATTTGGTTTGAAGGGTCTAAAGTAACAAAAAAATTATTATAACTAGAATCTTTTACATTTACCTCGATATTACACAGATCACATTTTTTAAATGTGTCAGAAGAAGTAAATGTACCTAAGCTTTTCCCACAATTATCACATAGTGCATGATAAGTGTTAGAATGTTTTGGATTAAATAATTTATCGATTAGGTATCTCGTTTCTGGAATTATTGGTTTTAAGAAAATACAGTTAACTAACTTAAATAGGTTTTCAATCGCAGTTAAGGAAAGTGAATTGGCTGAAGCGTATTGCAATAACATCATCAAAACTTCACCAATATTTTTATTAACTGGTACTTCGATTGAATTACTAAAATTTGCATCATCCAAAAATGTGTTAAGGTATTCAAACTGTCCTTTTTCTTCTACAGATTTAACTTCGTCATCTGTATCCGAAATCTCCTCATCAGTTTGAAATGTAGTAAAATCGTATTGCGCACCTTTAATAAAATATAAACATGAAAAATCATTTCAATAGGTAAATTTACACAAAAATAGAATGAATCTACGGTATATAAAGTACAAAAATCTACAAACTCATTTTAATTAACTTAACTTTCTTCCTTCCAAGTGGAATTGTCAGACTTTGAAAAAATTTCAATTGGATATTAATAATTATATATGATGTATTCCACGCCAAAGTGAAAGTACATCTGCAATTGCCTCTCTGATTTTTCAAATTTTTTTAGCAATTCGTTTTCGAGTTATGGAATTTTTAAAATTGGAGAATTTTCATGACATTTAATTTTTAAATGCTCATAACTTCCTTAAAAATACTTTAATTTTAAAAGTTATTTTTTTCAAAATGTCAGTTTTTAAACGTTGTTTAAAAAAAATCGAAATTTTTTTTCAAATGTTATTACTATTAAATTTTGAAGTTTTAATGATAAATAGTCATTTTTCTCTTTTGACATACTGATAGATTTTTTTCAAAATTATTTCAAAAAACTACTTCTTTTCAAAAAAATTGGAAGCCTAGGCCGGTAATAGGTAAACAATTTTTACAACATTTTCGGAATTATTCAAAAATTTTTGAATTTTTAAAAATATTTTTGGTTTTTTTGTATACTACGTACTTCAATGTATTTTAATGCGCTAATTACGAAAATCATAGTGACAATATTAAAAAATTTAATTTCTATGGTAAACACCATAAATTTTTGGACTTTTTCATGGTTTTCAACATAAAAATCAAATTTTCGGGTATTGTGATGATTATGATGACTATGATATTATATTATGACTATGATTTTCGTAATCAGCGCATCAAAATACATTAAAGTACGGAGTACAGAAAAAACCAAAAATATTTTAAAGAATTCAAAATTACCCATTACCGGCCTAGGCTTAAAAGTTTCGTAAAAAGTAGTTTTTTTGAAAAAAATCGATCAATACGTCAAATGAGAAAAATGACTTTTTATCATTAAAACTTCAAAATTTAATAGTAATATCATTTAAAGAAAATTTCTTTTTTTTTAAAGTACGTTTAAAAACTCACATTTTAAAGAAAAATAACTTTTAAAATTGATGCATGTTTAAGAAAGTTATGAGCATTCAAAAATTAAAAGTCATGAAAATTCTCCAATTTTCAAAATTATATAACTCGAAAACGGCTAGCTGAAAAAATTTGAAAAAATTTATGAAAGCTAGTCTCAATTAGTACTAAAAGAAAAAAAATCTCAAATAAATCGGAGATGCAATTACGGATGGATTTTCACTTTGGAGTGGAATACATCAAATGTTATAAAATACTTTACACGTCCATCTTATTTTTAAAAGATGATCGTTTTTTATTTCTACACGGAAAAGTTTTTGGGTGAGCGGTTCTCTCCGGCTGGTGAGTTGTTCTACAAAATTGACAGATAAATATTTGAATTTCAAAAAAATTGATTTTCATTTAAATAATTAATTACTTTTTTAATTTTGTAAAAAAAAGTCGAAAAAGTTCAATTTATAACGTGAAGTTGAAAATGTATTCTAATATTGCAGCAACATTGCAGAAATAATGGTAATATTGAGTCAATGTTAGAAATATTGCTTCAAGTTCAGGTGCTGTGGAGGCGATAGCATAATTTACCTTTCCCTAGGTATGTTATTAAATAACAAATCAAAATTAATAATCAAATTTTTTTTACATAAGATATCAATTTTGATTAAATCTTCAAATTAACATTATTTTATAAATTAATTTATAAAAATTTATGATTGAAAATAGTATAAGAATTTTTCAATGCAATTATCTTGAAAAATAAAAAGTTTAATCATAATTATTACATTTATTTATAACCCTAAATGCTTCTTCTGAAAGAAAGTTAAGATCATATATCTGAGATGTGATTTAACTTCTATTTAGTTATCTCTATATACAATATTAACAATAGATTATTCAGGTCTAAATTGATATAGGTTACATCATGAAGAAAACCTGAAATACCTTCTTCTTCAACATCTTCATCAATATTTTCTTGAACAACTTTTATAAAGCTTGCCATTCTGGAATCGTCCCAATTAACTGAAGTATTCATTTCTGTTACACTACTTTCTTTACTGCATACTTCCATGACCATCTAAATAATAAAATTTATTTCAAAATCAAAAACTCATCAATAAAGTAAAATAAAATTGGAGAGTATTAAATATTTTACATACTTTGTCCATTTCACATTCACTGCTGTTTAAGTTATTTGTTGAAAATTGTTCATCAGCATCTTGCTGTATGACGTCTTCAATACCTATGGGGTATCCAGTAATTTCTCCATCCGATTCTGTACTTGATTCAGATTCGCTACTAGATTCTTTTAGTACCATTTCTTCTTGCAGGCTGGAAGAATTTCCCTCATTCAAATACAATTCTATACTAGAATCTGATTCGTCTGTAGATATCTGTAAAGTATTTATATTTAGAAATATTTTCTTAAAAATTAATTTATGGACGCTTTATCCACTTTAGGTTTACTGAACTATAACAATTGTTACAGAACAAAATGCAGCGCAGTGTAATTATGCACACTGCGCCATTTTTATTTAAAAAACAAGTATAATTTAATTATTTGAAAATTTACAAAATTTTCTTATACTATTCGAAAAAGCGCATTTTGGCACATGAGAAATATCTATTCCTGACTTTTTTTTCATTGTTTAATTGTGAAAATACAGCGTCAAACTTTGATAAAAAATAACGAGAAAAATTTTTTTGTTTGAACTTTATTTTACTGTTTGCAAACTATAATACTACTTTAAATCAGACAGACTGGACATACACGAAGTTGAAAATCAATTTGATCTCTGAAATGTTGTATTTCGAAGATTTTTAGACATGTACAGTGCCTTTATACTTGGAGAACTTAGTCAAAAATAATGATACAAAAATTTCAAATACAAATTTGGAAATCTTATGAAACTTTCAAAACAGAGATAATTCTTTAAGTTTCAAAATTTTTGACCTCAATTTTCACCTGGGTTATGCTAACCCAGTTAGTACCCTGAGAGTTAAAAAATCTAAATAATGATTCATAATATTTACGAAGCTGAAGTACGCAACGTTTATGATAAACGATTTTAAAGAATTAATTTTTTAAAATGAAAAATTCTATAATTTTTCGCCTAAAAAATATTTCTTGTAATTTTCATTAATTAACAAATCGTAAAAAAATATTTTTTAGGCAAAACATTATAGAATTTTTCATTTTAAAAAATTATTTCTTTAAAAATCGTTTATCATAAACGTTGCGTACTTCAGCTTCGTTAATATTTTACTTGATTTCGCATTGTTTTCAATAAATTTCGTAAAATTATAATTTTCAAATTAATTTAGGTTCATTAGGAATAGATGTTTACTATTCTGTATATCTGATTAAAACTATTCTTTTTTCATGACAATATGCAAATAAATAGTAGTTCTTTACCATGAAGTTAAAAACTTTCATTTTTGTGTGTGATACGCAACAATATGTCTTAAAACTAATACGTTCTGTAAGTTCCATTACCTCCCTAACAGCCTCACGTAACCTTCTTTCTCTGTACTCAGTACTTCTGGGCACCTTTGTTCCCCTTTAAGAAATAAATATATATATATATTAATTAAATTTTACCTTTATACATTCTCGCTTAACATTTATTAGCAAATTTCTAACTGTTGACATTTTTTAAGAAATAAGCGTATAAAAATTAATTGACTTAGACTTACTTCTGAACGCATATTTTATCACCTATAAGATAATATGAAAATTGGTCTACAACAATTGAACCGACCAAAAGGTCTTACGCGTGACTTTCGTTGGTCCCGCGTTCAGCGAGTTTCCAGATATTCCAGGAGCCAATGAAAACTTCGCGTAAGCCCTTTTGGTCGTTGGCAGTTCAATTATTGACGACGATATTATTTATAGAATAATAATAATAAATCATTTATTAATTTAATTTATTATCATTTACTTTTTAAACTATTTACTAATTTATAATTTTACAAACAAAATGTAACAATTTTTCTTTTTACATTTTTTTAAACTAACCGTTCTCAAGTTATTGACACTTTTTAAAATATAGATTGATTTTAAACAAATATATGCTCTCAAATGCACTTTGTCACACTATTAAGCTTTTTTGTTCAAAATTACATCAGTTTGAAATTTCCAACAGAATTGAATATTTTTAGTTTAAACATATTTATTAAACAATTAATATTTTTTAATTTCATTTTTAGATATAGAGTTTGATGTCAAGGTAAAAGCTTTAAAATGAAATAATTAATATTTTATTGTAAAACTTTGTTATAAGTTCACAATGGGTAGAGTAGAGTGGGGCGAGATCACTATTTGGCTTTTATTTTCGTATTCTATGACTTAGAAATTTGTCGTTTCACGTAAATGTCACTTATAGCAGTGTGCATATATGCCCTGAGTTTCGATCCGATTAATGACAATCGAATGACAGAGTGATTACTGAAATCAAAACTCATTTTACAACTATTTTTTAATTTTCGCGATTTTATTTTGAAAAAAATTTCACGAAAAAAGATTTAACGCAATTATTTTTTATTAATTTGAGTCTTCTGAATGTGATGGTGTGGTTTATTTTGCGATTTCCAAAAAAAATTTAATTGTTAATTATAAAAGATTTTATTTTCTAAAATAAATTTAGTGTTATAAAATAGTGATAATTCGTATTTATTTAATGTTTTCCAATGATTTTTAATTAATTTTTTAATTTTTACTTCAAAAAAAAGATAACTGGTGATCTCGCCCCAAGTATTGGGTCGAGATCAGCACTTGAGCCGCCGGAAAGTAAAAGGGCGCATGAAATTTGTACGGCCGTTCGAGTTGGCCGGCCGTACAAATTTTATGCGCCCTTTTACTTTCCGGCGGCTCACTTGCAAGGGTAGCGTAAAATGGCTGTAGCTCGAAATAATGAAGAGATCGGAACTTGCGTCAATGGAGTAAAATGTAGCCAAAGAGTCTATCTTTCAAACCTTCTTTGGTTTTTGTCATTATCGACTCGGGGACCTTTGACACAGTTCGAAAACTGAAAATGTGGAGTTCTTGCCCTACTCTACTCTAATTAGGAATGTTTGTATGTTCATAAACCATTTCAATGTTGATTAATTGTTTATTAAAAATCTACTTGTCGAAAATATTTCATGTAGGGTTCTCGTTGCATGCAAAATTACATAAGCTTCCATTAGTTAATTCAAAGTCACACTAATTTTATTCGAATGTAAAATATTTTATTTTTAACATTAATTAGTTAATTAGGGTTAGTTGGGGTAAATGGGGACAAAATCGCTATTTTTCACAAATTTCGTAAGTTTCTTCCTTTAAAAGGTAATATTTGCTGGTTTATTTTTTTAAGTTGTTATTTACATTCCCAGGATTAATTTTATGCAGCAGAAAAAATTTTAGATAAGCTTTAAACGCATGAAACTGACTGTCCCCATTTACCCCAAAATTTAGAAAATTTCATAAAATTTGGGGGAAATGGGGACAGCATAGTTTCTAAGAAAGTTTTACTAAAAAAATTTCCTTAAGTATATTACTGTATTAAAGGATGAAAAAACTTTTAAAAAATTTGTAGTAGATATATGATAGTTGAACCAATTGAAATTTTTTTATTTTCTTTTAGTATTTTGTTTCGCATTTGAAAAAACACAGACTTTTAAAAATCATACCAAATTTTTTTCTAATTCCTTTCGACTCCCATAACAGAAATTCACTTGAATTTTTGATTTTTGTTAATTTGATTAATAATGACAAGCTGTCTCCATTTACCCCAAAAATTTGAAAACTTAGGGTAAATGTGGACAGCTTGTCATTATTAACCAAATTGACAAAAATCAAAAATTCAAGTGAATTTCTGTTATGGGAGTCATAAGGAATAAGAAAAAAATTTGGTATAATTTTTAAGTCTGTTTTCTTCGAAATGCTCGACAAAATACTGAAACAGTTTGACTTTGATTTTAAAGTTTTTATGCATTGTGCGATAACTTTTTTTATCTTGCTGCCAATTGTCAAGATAAAAGCTTGGCAATACTCAAAATCTCTTGCAGGTGATCTGAGGTTAAAATATTGATGTTGAACTTAATTTTAAAACTCTAAATTAAGCTCCAAAACCTTTTGTCCCCATTTACCCCCTGTTCCCATTTACCCAAACTGACCCTAATTACTCATAATAAGACATTTTGTTTTGTTTCTTTATTAAAAGTATACATCTTAAGCTTCACTTTAAGTGATAAAAAAATAATAAAGATTCGTTTAAAAATAAAATTTTTAATTATTTTTGATTTTCAGAAAAGGATAAATTTGTTTAAAAAATTTTATTCACCATTCGAAAAAGTAAAAAAAAACCTTTCCATTTCAAGTACTATTAAATAGTTAAGTGGAAAGTAGTTAAAGTGTCTACTAATTTAATTTTTTTATCTTTATGTGTATAAGTTACTTTCCAGTATTTAATTTTTAATCATTGTTTTCTATAAGCAAGTAATATCTAAAGCATTCTCTAGTAAATCCACAGAAAATTTTAAGTTATTCCACTGCCTTATACTTTCGTAAATTGATATTCTACTTGAAAGATTTTTATTTAGTTTCTATTTAAAATGTCTTTATATAAAATAGAAGTACGGTATATAAAGCTTGTAATAACCATAACAGTTATTAGTGTTTTTATTTTCTTAAAAATATTTCTAACTTTTTCCTTAGGGAATCAGTTTATGTCCCTGTCTCTCTAATGTTAAATACAATATTATAGAAAATGTATTTTAATTGTTAAAAATATACATGTAAGCAATAAAATATACCTTTTATACTTATGTCTTCCACTCATATTGTGCGAAACACCTGTAAGTGAAATTAAAGTTATGAATATAGTGATTTCACAAATGAAATACATATTTACTGGCAGAGTGTTCCCATTCAGACTACATTTTTTAAAAGTATACGTTAGTTTTAATTACCACAAATTAAAATTTCTATATTTTACATATCAGGGAACAAGAATATGACAATAAAAATTCGGTTTTTTGAGGTTATCAATATTTTTTTGGACGTTAAAATCAGCAATTTTTAATACTTTTCAACAAATGTCATTCCACTTTTACTCAATTCTTATTCAATAACACTCAGATTTTTCATTGAAAAATGATATTAATAATACTTCCTCACTTGTAAAATGTAATAATAACAATAATAATAATTATTATTATGAATTATTAATATATAAAAATGATTATATATTAGGGGTAAAATGCCTGTTGCGTACTAAGTGAAACAAAAGTTGATCGGATCGGGCTGTAACTTGCACATACTTTAGCCCTAGGAGTGAGTACTTTAACCACGAAGTATTGTTACGTTTTTTCAAAAACTGTCAGAGAGGGAGGGAGTTGAATTTTTTTGAAAAATTTAAACAGTGAATTTTTGAAGACTAGTAACTTTTACACAGAATGAAGAAAAACAATTTGACCAGTATGATTTCGAAAGGTTTTTTCCTGCTCTTTCGAATGTTGCAAACAAAACTTCAAAAAATTCAAATTTTGACCCTTTTTTGAGAATTAAATTTTTTTTTGACTTTATTTTAAGTTCGGTCCTTTTTGCTTCCTCGTGGAAGAAGCTTTGTAGTCCTTTCGTTTATAAAACTTTTCAAAGTGGCGGAAACAAATTTTTCTTTATAAAGAAACATGTTATATGAGATCCTGATCAATTGTCCGGATGCATGTATGTGTGTGTGGATCCCTTTTTTGTTTAGAAGATAACTTTAACAGGTTTTAATGGATTTAGATAAAATTTGGTAGGCTTATTTATCATATTAATATCTCAAAACTGACCAAAGGATTTTAAAAAATACCCCAAAAAAAATTTATCGTCTTTTTTCCAAATTTTTTTTTAATCAAAAAAATTTTTAAATAGAAAAATTTAAGGTTATATATAATAAAATCGTATTCCTTACGTCAAGACAAATCGATCGGTATATATAAAGTATAGCTTTAATTTAAATTTAAAGAATTAATGAAAGTTAAAAAATAAAAAATTCACATTTTGGCTATAAAATTTTGTGATTATTTAAATTTAAGTTTATAGATGAAATAATTGTATTCCTTGCATGAAAACGAATCGATTGGTATATATAAAGTTTACATTTAAGGTAAATTTAATAAATTAATGAAAGTTAAAAAATAAAAAATTCACATTTTAGCTAAAAAATTTTGTATTTATTTAAATTCAAGTTTAAATATATAATAATTGTGTTCCTTGCATTGAAACGAATAGATATAATTGTAAATAATTATAAATTATATATTATTTTTAATTAATCTTTAGAAATTTCAGCTATAATGTGAATTTTTTGGTTTTTTAACTTCCATTAATTCTTTTAATTTAACTCAAATGTATAGGTACTCAAATGTTTATATTATTATATTATTTTTGTATGTTTATTTCAATGTTAATGCTTTCTCCACGAGGAAGCAAATTGTTTTGCTGATCGTAAAGAGGAATTTTACCCCATTACTATATATAAAATATGTAATATTATATTTATATTATTATTTTTATTACATTGTACAAGTTAGAAAGAAAGTATGTATATTAATATCATTTTTCAATGAAAAATTTAGAGTTTTATTGAATAAGAATTAAGTAAATGTGGAACACCATTTGTTGAATAATTTTAATTATTAATTTTTATTGTCATATTCTTATTCCCTAATGTCTAAAATATAAAAATATTAATTTTTGGTAATTAAAATTAACTAAAAAAATTAGTCTAAATAGGAACGCCAATTGGAATGATCTGCCAGTGAAGTTATTAAGATGAAAGTAACTGTAAGAGAATTTTCATTTTATTCTCTTGGCTAGAAAATAATATATATCTAAGTGTTATATTTTATACTTAGAATTAATATAAAATTAATAAGAAAATCAAATTTAATTTGCTTACGATTTCATAATAACATTTTTCTAAATGGAAGTACATGAAAATCACTTGTGAGCGTTAATTTATCAAGTATCTTGCGAGAAAAATTATGAAGGATTCGATTTATGTTAGATTCTATACAGGATTATATATTAAAACATTATATCATATTTATATTGTATTTTATTTTAAGATTGTACACAAATTTTAAAGATAACGAAATTAAACCGATTTATGAGTTTGACAAAGAATCTTGAATATTTATATCAGTGACTTTTTCACTGGTTTAAATTTTGAGAGTAGGTATATCCTTTTGTCATAAAAAGTTTGCAGACAATTCTTACAAAGTTATAAAAATGTAATTAGAAGTCTTTCTAATGATTAAATGAAAAGAATCATTTTAATTATATATAAAACCAAAGATATTAAAATTAGATAAATATTACGATTCTGAAGTACGCAACGTTTATGATCAACGATTGGAAATCAATTTCTATTTAACACGAAAAAATATTAAATTGTATACCTACAAAAAATTATAGAATTTCTCATTCTAAAAAATTATGTTTAAAAAATCATTTATCATAAACGTTGCGTACTTCAGTATCGTAAAATATGTACTAAAAATGTTTAAAATATTACATTAGGTAAATCACAAATTTTTTTTTGAATTTTCAGAACTCATCTTATTTCATCTCTTTCTCTTACTTTATTTATTTTCTGTTAGTGAAATAATATTTTATTTATATTATTTCGTAAATTAGAAATTTTTCAAATTAATTTATTCAGATTATTTATCTGGCGAAATAGACACATCGAAAATTCTTGCCTAAGAAAGTTTACAGTAAATTAAAGATCATCTCAAAGTCTTTAAAATGTAACGTAAAATAAAAAAAATGACTAGAAAATTAATTTTTAATAAATAGAACTATTTAATTGACACAATGAAAGTAATTAATACAATTACAAAATTAAGTTAGCCATAGTCGCAATAAAATGTTTTATAAGTTTGCTGTCCGTTTTACTAATACATTTAATATTTTTAAAAAAACTTACCTTTTTAAACTGAGATCAAATTAGCAGGATAAAAATTGAATAATAATTAATATATTAATTAAACTCAAATCACTATAGAATACACACAGAAAAAAGCAAAATCCGAAAATGAGTGAATAACCACGAGGCAGAAAAATGTCAGTATATATGGAAATGGACAGGAAGAACTTTATATCGATAGACCGGAAATAATTTCCGTAATATAGTAATGCGCAAAATTAAAACGACACTACACTGAAGGCAGCGCGGAATTCTAATGTGTTAAATTTAAAAACTTATCAGACACATATATATCGTAATGAGAATATTTACATTGCGTGTATAATCAACAAATAACATAAAAATTAAGAAACTAATTTTGACCAAAAAATTCCAAGTCTGCGTAAAAGCGTCTGCAAAATGCATAAACCATGTAAATTAGGCTGTCTTATTTGTGACGTCAGAGCCGATTCTAAAGGCGGTTCCAGAATAGGTGAAAAGACATGTGCTAGTCCAAAAAACTATAAGCGCTATTTATCTCTCTTGCACTCTTGGGCCGTTTCCGAATTGAGATTTTTAGCGCATACATCCCGAGTATACAGTATATAAAAAATGCGGTAAAAGCCTCATTTCGGAGACGAAGATGGTTTTCTTAGACTTGCACTTGCCTTTTGCACCTATTGTAGAACCCCCTCTAGAGGCACTTGCACACCTCGGTTGCCTGTACAGGTAGCAGTGAAGGGGCTTGCACAGGCAACTTGTAAGATCCAATCAGAGAGTCAATAGATTTAAATTTGAATTTTCTGTCTTTCTTATTCTTGTACGTTTCCTGCGTGGTGGGAGGCTGCCTGCGCAGGCATCCGTGAGCTGTGACCGTACCATTACGTGTGACATCAGGTAGCTGGAGGGAAAACAAATAGATGAGACTATGTTATTCTTTATGGGGAAAAAAAGGTTTCCAGTTTTATTACTTTTATTCATATTTTAAACATGGAAAATACTTCTTGACATGTAGTAAAAAGTAAATAGAGTTATGCTAATTGTGAGAGGTATTTGATCAAATAGGATTGTCGAAATCTCAGAATTTTTAATTAAAAATAACTTTGTAAGTTAGGAAAATTTGTTTACTAACTTGAAATTTTTGACTGCTGCGATATAATTCCCACTTTAAAATCCCAGAACCTCAAAATTTATATTTAATCACGAATTCAGAGAATCCACCAATGCAATTGAATAAAATAATTATCATCACACACTTTATTTTCATGTCAACAACCGTTTTCCACGTTTAAAATATGAGTAAAATTGATAAAATTTGAAACAAATTTTCTCCTCTAAGAATAACATTGTGTCGTCTGTTTATTTCCCTTCAGCAATCTGACGTCATATTCGAACTCAAAATATCTCGATGAACGACAAAGCCTAATAAAAAAAAGTGATACACTTGTGATTAGAAATGCCTACATTTTTTTGTCTTTATCTAACGCACATATTTCCATGACAACACGTGTGTTAAAAAAGGGCAAAAAAGTGTAGGCATATCTGTACATATTTATTATATTGTGGACAAAGCTAGACATTTTCCACCGGACATAAGGCAGTCCATCTTGTGACGTAGCGTGACGTCACAAGTTGGACTGCCTTATAGCAACTTTTTAAGAAGCAACTGTGCGTCGGCCTTTACGAATATGCATACGCTTGATTAAAATTTGAATTTTATTCTGCGTCTGCGTAATCAGTCTACAGTGTTAATGTCCATTAGTTTCATGCCTCGTGGTTTTCCTCAAATTAAAAATGTTCGCGTATGTAAAATATTTGGACTCCTGTCCAAACAAAGTGAAGCATAAAGATAAACAAATTGTGCCAGTTGAAGATATTATAAATTTTCAAAAATATGAAAAAAATAATTGTCGAGAGTTCCGAATTAAATGCGGAGAAAAATTGGGCTTAGGTTTAATAGGATTAGTAGGCGGTAAGTATAGATTATTGCATTAAAATGTTTTTCTTATTATAGTTTTTATTTTATTGATAATATAAAAATGTCACTTAAAACTTTAATTAGAGAACTCCATGAAATATACTTTTAAATTTCATATCAATCTGGAACTTTCTTCCATGTGGTTAAGATGTTGAACATCATATTTTTAAATTCATTTTTTCATTCTCTGTTAATTTTTTAATTATTACTTCTAATCTTTTCATAACGTAAATGTCCTAATTTCTAAACATGTATCAATTTGTGCACAATTACTTTTTAGTGTACAAAAAAAAGTAAAATCAAAGTAGGTGGTGTGATAAACATATATTTTTTTGTCGTGATTCGTATTTTCTAATCATAGTTTACTGTAATATTGAAATTAAATATTAATAAAAAAGTCATAGTTTCTTATATTTTAATAACGAAATAGACATAATAATGAATCCTTACAGTATTTATGTGATATTCACATAATTTTGTCTCAATATATAAAGAATCTTTTGAAAAAACTTGCGGAGAATATTTATATGTAAAACCAAAACAATCGCATGACCTTAAGAACTTGAAAGTCTTTTGGTTGGTGTGCACACCGCAACAGAATAATTTCAGTATAATTTGAATTAATGTTTAAGAATCCAATATTATCAGAAATTTTTTTTTTAATAATAAAAATTAATTATTTTATAATTTTAATTAATATTTCATATTTTCTCTTATTAGTTAATAATTATTATTAATATTTATTATATTAATAATAAAACTTTCTTGAATTACTAGGATGAAGGTTATGCTTAGAAATTAGAAATTTATTGGTTGTAAACCTTGACAATATTTAAAATATTTTTTTATTTCTAGAAATCCGGTCTTTTTTAAATAAAAGACAAATTAATTAAATATTTGAATTTTTTAGAATCAAAGAAGGATGTAGAAGACAAATTGCTAAACGGTCCGCGTCCCAAATTCGCAACGATCAGTCTTCGAAAAGAAAATTCGGATTTAAAAGAGACCCATCAAAATAATAAGGTATAAATAATAATTATAAATAAAAAAAAATTAAATAGTTATATTCTATTTAAAACCTTTCAACAGTAAAAGTAGGGTGTCTAATGGTCATAGTATTCAGATAATTTAAATAGTTAGATAATAGCAGGAAATTTATTCAATTTTCTGTAAATTTTAGTCAATTAAACAAAAACTTTGTAAAAATATATATTGTTTGTTAATTTTTACAAACAGATCAAACTTTCTTATTTTGTATCTTAAATTCTAATTATTTTATAATTTCTAACTTTTTTCTATTTTTCACTCAATTTTATATATTCTAAAACATTCTATCTTTACCTAATGTATTTTAAGATGTTTTTGATAACGTTTCGAAATATTTTAAAAGTGATTACCAAAATATTTTATAAAAAGATGCTTATTTTTTACAACGAATATATAGCGTTTTTTCTTTTAAAATTAATTATAATTATAAATTACTTAGTGTTAAAAACTGAATAAAATAGTTCTCAGCTTTACCAACATTTTCTCCTCTGATTCCAAGAATCTTTAAAATTCTCAATTTTTCGTTCAAAATTTCTCTTCAACATTGTATTTCCTTACATTTTCTTGTTTTTGACGTTTTATTTTACTTAAATTTTGTACGTATTTGTACCAAATAGAGAGAAGACATAAAAATATATTTATCAATATTTTCCTTAAACTAATCGTCTTTATTAAAAATGTTTAACGTCCGAGAAGTATAGTAAAGTAAGGAGTAAACTTTTATTAAAACAACAATGGTCCGAATGTAATCGTTTTTTTCATACGAAACCTTCTAATTTATTCGTGTTTTACATTTTTTCTTCAACTTTCTACTTATTTTTTGATTTCATAAAATTTATGTGGGGTGGAGTGGCTCACGTTATTATTTTTGCCCATAAAATTGATAAAAATTCAGTCCTTACTTCTAGTATAATATCCTAAAAACTTTCAGAACATTTTTTCTAAGACCTATTCTAAAGATTGACTTAAAATGAAGAAATCATTTGTCTGAGACACTCCACCCACCTTACCTTATTAATTAATTATTTTATTCTTAAGGTTTTGAATTTCAAATAATTCTACTCAGAGTCAGGGAAAGGTCAGAAAAAAGTCAAGGAATCTTCTTTCGTATAGTAGTTAGACACCCTGGAAACGATATTAAACTTCTTTTTTTTATTGACAACTGAAAGTTTTATAAACATTATCCATTTTTTCAGATTTTTTTTATTAAATCACAGATAAATGATTATATTTTTTCAATTATAACGACCAAATACATTATAATTCAGAGAGGATAGACATGTACTGAGCTGGAATTCAATTTGATCCTTGAAATTATATTAAATTTAATTTTTATTCGCAATCGTCGTATATCATATGATTAAAGAATAAAATGTTTTAAATGTTACCCAGAACACTAAAAATTTATATACTAGTGTATTGTTATTGTCTGATTTCAGAAAATATAGTTAAAAAATTGTTTAAAATTTTTTTTTACTTAACTCAAATTATTTGACCTAAAAAGATAAAGTTTGGTATATTAGTGCATTCTCACTCGTTAAGTACAACAAATTATGAAACAATTTTTTTTCTTTAATTTTACATTAATTGATCTACAATGCTAAAATTTAGTAAACTACTGAATGTTTACTGTTTAAAAAACAGTACTACAGTAATTTTACTTCTTTTTGGAAAAACATTTTCTATTTTTATAATTGTACTTACTTATATATTACATTTAAGTTAAATTTGATTTTAAAAAAATTTAACTCGCACATGTCCAATTTTTTTGTTATAATTTTTGTTGTCAATGGTTTTCATAGTAAAGAGTATTTTCCAAATGAATTTGAGTTTGCCCTATGTTGGTAGAGTAGTAAGATTTTTTTTGAAAGAGTTTAAATTATTTTGAAAGAAGAAAGAAAGCTTTCTCAGGTCCATAAAAATAGAATTAAATATCTCAATTTGTTGTTACATTTAAAAGATTTTTTTGATAATTTTGAGATGAGCGACGATTAACAAAAAAAATATGTGTCTTCAAAAATCTTTAAAAGCAATAATTTAGGGATCAAATTGTTTTGTAGATTCGACAATGTCCAGCTTACATGATTTGAAATGAATTCGGTCTAATTAATTATAATTAAATTATAGACTGTGAAGCAACGTTTAGCTAAGGAGCTTAAAGGGAAAGATATTTTAGCTAAAAGAGCTAAATTAGACATATCAAAACAGGAGCCAAACAAGAATAAAGATAAGAAGAGTATCAATATAAATAAGGTATTAATTACAGACAAATTTAATGGTGTATAACGGTGAAGTAAGTCTGAGAATAAATAAAGAATTTTCATACTACTGAGAACGAAGCTGAAGTACGCACGTTTATGATAAACGATTTTTAAAGAATTAATTTGTTAAACTGAAAAATTCTATAATTTTTTGCCTAAATAATATTTCTAATAGTTTTTATTAATCAACAAATAAAAAAAATTTGTTTAGATAAACAATTGTATAATTTTCGGTGTTAAATAAAAACTGATTTCTAAACTTTTTTTAATAGTTTATTAGAAAGTTTCTTAACAATTTTTTTTTCTAATTGTAACATATCGTTAAAACACCCTAAATTATTTCTTTCATTTCACTATAATTCATTACTTTAAAATTGCAGTCTACCAGAAAAGAAATAGAAGGAAAAAATCATAAGCTTGTTTCAATCAATAGAGAAAAATTAGATCTTAGTGAAAATGATGAGACTGAAATGGATAATATAAATGGAGGACCTGAAAAATCAAAGGCAAGTACATTTATTTTAAGAAATAACTAATTTCAACAATAATAATAAATGAAACAAGAGTTTTTCCACTTGAAAATATTATTCTTAATATTTTCTATTTTCTCTTCGCTTCCAAAAATTCTAGTGTTGGTTTATTCATTGTTTATTATTGCTTTTATTTTTTTTATTAGTGTTTATTTAGTTTCTTCTTGAAACTTATTTTTTTGGATTCCCTTAAAGTTTATTTAATTTTTTCATATAGAATATGTTTAGTTTTTTAATAGTTTATTAGAAAGTTTCTTAACCATTTTTTTCTAATTGTTACCTATCGTTAGACACTCTAAATTATTTCTTTCATTTCACTTTTATTCATTACTTTTAAATTGCAGTCTAGCAGAAAAGAAATAGGAAAAAATCATACGCTTGTTTCAATCAATAGAGAAAAATTAGATCTTACAATTAGTGAAAATGATGAGACTGAAATGGATAATATAAATGGAGGACCTGAAAAATCAAAGGCAAGTACATATATTTTAAGAAATAACCAATTTTAAGAATAATAATAAATGAAAGTTTATTTAATTTTTTTACATAGAATATGTTTAGTTTTTTAATAATTTATTAAAAAGTTTCTTGATAACTATTTTTTTCTAATTGTAACCAGTCGTTAGACACTTTAAATTATTTCTTTCATTTAACTATAATTCATTACTTTAAAATTTCAGCCTATTTTAAAAAAAGTAGGAGAAGAAAATGATATGCTTGCTGTAATCAAAACAGAAAAATTAGATTTAAGTGAAAATGATGAGACTGAAATGAATAATATAAACAGACGAGCTGAAAAATCAAAGGCAAGTATATTGAAAGTAGTAACTAATTTAAAGAATAATAATAAACGAAACAAGAGTTCTCCTACAAAAAGTATCATTAACTATAATAAAAATAACATTGTCGAATTAAATCTAATTTTATTTTCATTTCCGGATAAAAATCAACTCAATGTAAAATACATTGATTTGGCATCTCAATGGTGTTTTTAAATTTAAAAAAATTGTAATCTTTTTGACTTCCTAGAAGAAACGGAGATACTCGCATTCAAAATTACTTTTTATTTAAATAATAATATTTTATCACTGAAAATATATTATTTTCTCTAACTGTAAATAATTATAATTAAATTATAGAGTGTGAGCGAACATTTTACTGAACCAGAAATGGTAGACAAAATTTTAGCAACCAATGAATCGCAAGATCACTATGCAGAAAAGGAAGTACAAGTTCCAAATTCGGTACCTAAAGATAGGGAAGTCAACAATAATTCTCAAAATACGACTCAGAGTAATAATCGAGTAAAACTGGAGAGGTACTCCATTGTAAATAATCAGGTAATTGAAGACATGAATAATTCCTGAAGTACAATTTAATTAAAGTTTAAATTATTTTATCTTCAATGCCCCAATATAAATTTATCAGAATGTCCACATTTAAAATCTCATATAAAAAAACAATTATTCTCTATTTTACCGAATTACTATTATAATTTCCTTTTGTTTCAGACAATATTTCTTTAATATCTCAAAAAAGTTGTCCAAAAGTATCTTTTGTATTTTAAATTCTCTAACGTCATTAGTTTTTTATCAAAAGAAAATAATACACACATTACATGTTGTGATTCAAACTTCAATATAATATATTTAAAAAATCAGTTTAACTTTCAATATTCAAAAGTTGATTAAAGTTAAGAATATTGTTAAAAATTTAATTGTTAAATAATGTTTTTAACATACCTCATATTAAATTAATTTAGGGTGTAAAATTGCAATTCCTTACATTTTTAAAAATTCATAACTCACTAATCGGGGTACTTATAACAATTTAAAAAAATACGAGTATTATTGTTTTTAAAATTATGTATTTTTAACCTTGTTTAGTTATATTTTTTGTTAATTTTAATTAATTATAATTATTATTAATTAATTTTAATTTTTTTGGTTTTGGTAGATTTACCTAGGAGGAGGTGTTCTTTTTCACAAAAATGATTGGGAGGTTTTAAAAAAAAAATCTAAAAATTCTCTTTGGCTATTAGGAGTTATACGAATTTTTTGGCCTAAAGGATTCGAAAACAGATGTGTCGATTCGAAAAGATTACGAGTTGGAAAGGATGGTGAAACTCTTAAACCTTTATCTCCGAGAAAAATCAAAACAATTCAAAGTGAGTAACAAATATACTTATAATGTAATCATTTCCTATATTTATTAAATGAGTAATATATCTTTTTTAACACATAATTATCTGAAATTAATTTCTGATCATTTTTGTTTGATAGAATTTCATTAGATAGAATTTGTTGGAGACTGATTTATGTTTATTCACATTATTGTAAGTCGGAATTTTTATTAAACCAATTCTTTATGTTACAGAATTTCTAAATAACCAAAAATTAATTTAACAGAATTTCTGTTTGTCAAAATTTTGAATTCTTCAAATTTTAATTTAACTTAATATCCAGTAAAATTAATTTGTATTTGTCAGAATATTGTACAGAATTTTTATTTCTTTGAATTACAATTAACCTGTACTAAAGAATTCATTTAACAGATTGTCGTTTGTTCAAATTAATTTTTGTCAAAAACTTTTGCCGCGAATTTTAAAATTAACCAATCAATAATTACATATAAATCTTTCATTAGTAAATTTTAAACGTTAAAAACGTTAGTTTTTGATACGTTTCAGTCGAATATTTATTCAAACAAATTAAAGTTCTGTCAAAGAAAAGTATTATCAAGTAGGAATTTATGAATTAAATGTTCAGTTAAATGAATATGTTGTAATATATTTCAATTAATGGAATTCTATTCAATAAAAATTACAATAAATTTATTTCAGGCATTATTTATGCGTTTTTTTCAATTACTGTAACGGAAAGCCCAGAGCTCAGGGAAAAGTTAGGGAATTTTTTTAGTCAAAGGAAAGTAATCAGTTAAGAAACTCTTTAAATTTTTCAAAGTTAAAAATGTTTCATAAATTTTTATTTTTATTGAAAATTTTTTTATTACACATTTTATAATCAGTTAAAATTCTAATTATTCCGAACGTTAGTCAGTTAAAATAACTGTCAATCTGCATCCAAATCCATTAACAGTTTAATTATTCCAAAATTTAGACAATTAAAATTATAATTAATTAAAAATTTTATCAATAAAAATTTCAATTATTCCAAATTTTAATCATTTAATAGTTATAAATAATTTTTGAAAATTTATTATTGACTTTAACATATTTTAAAATTTACTTTTATTCAAACATTCAGAATGTTTTCAACTTAATAATTATTTTAAATTGAATTAAACTAAAATAAGTTTTCTTTAAATAGACATTCAAAGATTTTGACGTGCTAATTTTACTGATATCTGTATTAAAATAATTGACTTAATAAAACTTTTAAAGATTTTAAAGAAAAAGAAAAAAGAAACATTTTTTTTATAAAAATATTTAAAACTTTGATCAGTTTTTTATTATTGAAATTATTAAAAAATTAATTTCTATTTAGTATCTAATATTGATAGTTGAAAAGTAATTTCATAGTTGAAATGTAAATAATAAGAATAATAATAATAATAAAAATAATAAAAAATTTAAGTTCTTGAAATGAAGTGAAAATTAGGTAAAATGATACCCTCTCAATCAAGTTAATTTTCTTTTCCAGAACTTTACCGCGATCGCCTAAAAGGACAAAACATCACTGGGAAGTTAGAAGTTCGGGAAAAGTTAAAAGACGTTAGGCGAAAACTAACCCAACAAATTAACGATTTTAAGAAAATAAAAGAACAGCCCTCAGAAACAAATCCAGATATGTCTGATGATTCTTCTGATTTAGAATAAAAATATTACTTTTTTTGGAAATTTTACATTAAAAATGAAGAAACATTTTAATTGTCCGGTTTAATTATAGTTTGTTTTGTATCTTCTACTACTTTTATTAATATTATTTATTTAAATAATCTTGTATACACAATACATCTAACGAACCCAAGTTTTTTTAAGTGTATTTAAAGTGTATTTTAAACAAAAAAAAAGATTACTGTAATATCAGGTATAATGTAACCAAAAACTTTAGTTGTAAAAAAACTAAAATTCTCTTTATTAAGGAGTTAATGAAACAAAATAATATTTTGTAATAATTATTTAATAAAATTCTATTGTCATAATAATTTACATTAAAGATTATTATAATTAAAATTAAGAACAGGTTCAGTTAAGGTTAAAGAATAAAAATTACAGTACCATCGGAATATTTAAATCAAACCCTAATCTACTAACACAAGACATTTTCAGTTGGGTATTCAATCAATTTTCTAAAAAACATTAATGAAAATTGTATAACTTTTTCAGGTTTACAGACATAATTATTTATTATTAATAATATTAATATAATATAATATTATAATAATATATTATAATATAATATTATAATAATATATTATAATATAATATTATAATAATATATTATAATATTGTAATAATATATTATAATATATTATTATATATTAATGTAATATTTAATAATTCATCATACTTAATTATTTCGTACCAACTTCAAGTGTGAAATAATTACATGTATTAACCTGTAAGAATGTATAAAATTTAAAAATATTATTTCCAAAACCAGCTTAAAACCGACAAAAAATTTGTTGTATATCATATATAAATAAAAAAATTTATATAAGATTTCATGTCAGAATATATGTCAGAATTTTTTATTTAAAAATCGAAAAAGGATTTTATGTAAAATCTTAAACCAGATTTTGTATATGATTTTATATAGGAAAATCATATTCAGAGATGAAATGATATTACATAAGATTTCATGTCAGATTTTTTGTAAAAATTTTTTATTTAAGAATCGAAAAAGGATTTTATGTAAAATATTACATCAGATTTTGTATATGATTTTATATAGGAAAATTATATTCAGAGATAAAATGATTTTACATAAGATTTCATGTCAGATTTTATGTCAGAATTTTTTATTTAGGAATCGAAAAAGGATTTTATGTAAAATATTACATCAGATTTTGCATATGATTTTATATAGGAAAATCTTATTCAGGGATGAAATGATTTTACATAAGATTTCATGTCAGATTTTATGTAAGAATTTTTTTTTCATGATTTGAAAAAGGATTTTATGTAAAAAAATACATCAGATTTTGTATATGATTTTATATAGGAAAGTCATATTCAGGGATGAAAAGATTTTACATAAAATTTCATGTCAGATTTTATGTAAGAATTTTTTATTTAAGAATCGAAAAAGGATTTTATGTAAAATCTTAAATCAGATTTTGTATATGATTTTAAATAGGAAAATTATATTCAGAGATGAAATGATTTTACATAAGATTTCATGTCAGATTTTATGTCAGAATTTTTTATTCATGAATTGAAAAAGGATTTTATGTAAAATCTTACATCAGATTTTGCATATGATTTTATATAGGAAAATCTTATTCAAGGATGAAATGATTTTACATAAGATTTCATGTCAGATTTTATGTAAGAATTTTTTATTTAAGAATCGAAAAAGGATTTTATGTAAAATATTACATCAGATTTTGTATATGATTTTATATAGGAAAATCATATTCAGGGATGAAAAGATTTTACATAAGATTTTATGTCAGATTTTATGTCAGAATTTTTTATTTAAGAATCGAAAAAGGATTTTATGTAAATTCTTAAAGGAGATTTTGTATATGATTTTAAATAGGAAAATTATTTTCAGAGATGAAATGATTTTACATAAGATTTCATGTCAGATTTTATGTCAGAATTTTTTTTTCATGAATTGAAAAAGGATTTTATGTAAAATATTACATCAGATTTTGTATATGATTTTATATAGGAAAATCATATTCAGGGATGAAAAGATTTTACATAAGATTTCATGTCAGATTTTATGTCAGAATTTTTTATTCAAGAATTGAAATAGGATTTTATGTAAAATATTACATCAGATTTTGTATATGATTTTATATAGGAAAATCATATTCAGGGATGAAAAGATTTTACATAAGATTTCATGTCAGATTTTATGTCAGAATTTTTTTTTCATGAATTGAAAAAGGATTTTATGTAAAATATTACATCAGATTTTGTATATGATTTTATATAGGAAAATCATATTCAGGGATGAAAAGATTTTACATAAGATTTCATGTCAGATTTTATGTCAGAATTTTTTATTCAAGAATTGAAATAGGATTTTATGTAAAATATTACATCAGATTTTGTATATGATTTTATATAGAAAAATCATATTCAGAGATAAAATGATTTTACATAAGATTTCATGTCAGATTTTATGTCAGAATTTTTTATTCAAGAATTGAAATAGGATTTTATGTAAAATATTACATCAGATTTTGTATATGATTTTATATAGAAAAATCATATTCAGAGATAAAATGATTTTACATAAGATTTCATGTCAGATTTTATGTCAGAATTTTTTATTTAGGAATCGAAAAAGGATTTTATGTAAAATGTTACATCTAATTTTGTATATGATTTTATATAGAAAAATCATATTCAGAGATAAAATGATTTTACATAAGATTTCATGTCAGATTTTATGCCAGAATTTTTTATTTAGGAATCGAAAAAGGATTTTATGTAAAATGTTACATCAAATTTTTTATATGATTTTATATAGGAATATCATATTCAGGGATGAAAAGATTTTACATAAGATTTCATGTCAGATTTTATGTAAGAATTTTTTGTTTTAAAAATTAAAAAAGGATTTTATGTAAAATCTTACATCAGATTTTGAACTTGATTTTATATAGGAAAATCATATTCAGAGATGAAATGATTTTACATAAAATTTCATGTCAGATTTTATGTAAGAATTTTTTATTTAAGAATCGAAAAAGGATTTTATGTAAAATATTACATCAGATTTTGTATATGATTTTATATAGGAAAATCATATTCAGGGATGAAAATATTTTACATAAGATTTTATGTCAGATTTTATGTCAGAATTTTTTTTTCATGAATTGAAAAAGGATTTTATGTAAAATATTACATCAGATTTTGTATATGATTTTATATAGGAAAATCATATTCAGAGATGAAATGATTTTACATAAGATTTCATGTCAGATTTTATGTCAGAATTTTTTTTTCATGAATTGAAAAAGGATTTTATGTAAAATATTACATCAGATTTTGTATATGATTTTATATAGGAAAATCATATTCAGAGATGAAATGATTTTACATAAGATTTCATGTCAGATTTTATGTCAGAATTTTTTTTTCATGAATTGAAAAAGGATTTTATGTAAAATATTACATCAGATTTTGTATATGATTTTATATAGGAAAATCATATTCAGAGATGAAATGATTTTACATAAGATTTCATGTCAGATTTTATGTCAGAATTTTTTATTTATGAATCGAAAAAGTAGTTTATGTAAAATCTTACATCAGATTTTGTATATGATTTTATATAGGAAAATCATATTCAGGGATGAAAAGATTTTACATAAAATTTCATGTCAGATTTTATGTCAGAATTTTTTATTCATGAATTGAAAAAGGATTTTATGTAATATCTTACATCAGATTTTGCATATGATTTTATATAGGAAAATCTTATTCAAGGATGAAATGATTTTGCATAAGATTTCATGTCAGATTTTATGTCAGAATTTTTTTTTCATGAATTGAAAATGGATTTTATGTAAAATATTACATCAGATTTTGTATATGATTTTATATAGGAAAATCATATTCAGAGATGAAATGATTTTACATAAAATTTCATGTCAGATTTTATGTCAGAATTTTTTATTCATGAATTGAAAAAAGATTTTATGTATGATTTGATATAGGAAAGTGTTTAATTAAGGATTTAGCTATGAATTTTTATAGGTTTTTTTATGAGAAACGATGAAGGAAATTGACATTGGAAATTGACATAGGAAATTGAAGGAAAAAATATGACGAGAAAAATTGTAGGATTTCACATAGGAATTTACATAATTTATTACCTAAGAATAAGTTCATAAAAATTCATATCAAATCCTACTTTAAATCATGTCTCAATTTCCTATATGATTTTTGATAGGATCCTATATAGTTTCTTACATGACATATAGGATTTTATGTGGATTTTAATATATGAATTTATGTAAGATCCTATATAAGATCCTATATGAGAATTTTCAGTAGGGTTTAAATAAGTTCCATATTTTCTATATAAATATTGATTATTCTTTCGTTTAGATACATTCATTTCTTCTTATAATTATATCTATAGTTTTTATATATATATATATATATATAATTATATATAAATGTATATTATTTTCTTTTTTTTGTTTATAGGAATTAATTTTTTTCCTTCGATTATGTTTATAAATACAGGAGTATTTATTATATATATTATTATTATATTATTTTATTATATATATTATTTCTATGGGTATGTATGTATATGTGGGTTTCCTTGGTGTTTATATGAATTTTGTTACTGTTAGGTCTGTATTTTAATTAACCAGCAATTTGTACCGGAGTAGTGGTAGATGGCATGGGTCCGTGCTCGTCAGAAATCAAAATTATTATCGGAGGAGATGCATCCTGACTGCCGCGCTGCTCCCGCTCGACTGACACTCGCTCTCCTGGAATCGAGCAGCCTGCGCATGCGCCGAGCCTGCACTCTGATTGGTGCGCGCTCTCACCGTCTTTCCCCCACCTACGGACAGGCGGCGGGGAGAGGGCAAGTCGTGGGTGTAGCACTTAAATACTGCGGGTTTTCCAGACTCGCTCTCAGTTCTCACCTGTTTTCGCTAGAGGAAGGATCTCTGCCGGACGCACTCAACACCTTGGATTTCTACGAAGCCAACTTTGCCTGACGACAGCACGACCAGCCGAGTACCACTCTCCTTAGGGAAATTACAAAATAAAAGAGGATAGACGTAAAAAAGCCGTGCCTTATTTTTACTCTCACCGAACGAGAGAATTCCTCATCACCGGACACAATCCGCCCTTTTCAGGGCGCTTGGAATTATTTTTGGTTCTTGACACATCTGCCCTTTTCAGGGCATCTACGTAGGAAATTCTTTTGGTTGGCTTACAGCCAACTTGGTTAAAGTGGTACAACATCCTCTAGGGGACAGTGCCAGAACCTTGCTGA